CATTTCTATTTCAATTCTAACAAGGAGTTTAGCTTCTCTCTTGAAAATGTAAGCTAGCATAAGGCATTATAATGCAAGCTAGCCTTAATTTTTAAACAGTTCATTTAGTGACCAAAGTTACAGTGGCATTGAAAAAAAATATCTGATGACCATTTTCACACTTAGCGACCATTTTCACACTTAGCGACCGTTGCAGCATCCTCATGGTCATGTGATCAAAATTTTGATGTTTGGCAACAGATTCGTATTTATGATGGTTTCAGTGTCCTGGGGTCATGTTTGACAAAATATAAAATTTTTAATCAAGCCCCTCTCCCCCCCCCCGGTCAATGGTGTCCCTCTTTACCAACCTGAAAACCTGGTCACCTTATTCTTGCCACTTACATTGGGAAGTTGCCATTGATCAGATAAGCTATCTATCTTGTTTGAGCTTCCTTTCCTTTCCTAGCCTCCTCACAATCTTTCACAAAATGTATATTCAGCAAGCTTGGAAGGGTTGGAAAGACTTTTAAAATTTCACCTAACATTTGCTTATAGTTTCCTCCGGTTCATTAAAGCCAGAAATAAATGATGAAAGAATTCTTTTTGGAGATCATTTAGCTTTTTCCCAGAGAGTCCAATGCTGTCACATCCTGAGGCCAATGGTTTTAATTTAATTACGGCCAAATGTTCCACTAAAGTAATCATAATCCATCCTGATGCTGCTTAATGGATTGAGTGACAGGGTCAAATCTGCAATCATGGAGGGAAAAAGAGTTTTTGAATATATTAGAGATGTTTGGCAACAGTTTTGGGAGGATTAATAGGAAACTACTTTCATGTCTTTCCAAGCAAGCTAATTTTTGTGTTTCAGAAATTGCTGAATTGTGTGTAGTAATATGCTGTATTCTCTGATAAAGCCTCACAGGCAATATTTCTGTTTCCTTATGAAAAATGATGAGCTGAATATTTTTCTTATGATTGTCAGGAGACCTGTTTGTGTGAGGTGTATGCTGGAGATATATTCTCTGGGAGATATTTTAAAGAGAATTTCCAATGTTTTTTACAAGAAACTTGAAATTGTAATCTTCTAGCAGCAAACAAATCAGGTTGAAAGGCAAGCAGATCCCTGAGGGTGGGGGAGAAAGCTGTGTTAGGGATTTCTGAATAGATGACTTTGTACCTGTCTTAAAGATCAAACCATCTGAAGTGTTGTCCCCCCTCCAAACTCCAAAGCAATAATTTGGTCATGCAAATGGACACAAAAGCTAATGGCCTGATATAAGAAGAATGTTCAACCTGTTTTTTTTTTTTAATTTCAAGCATGATATTGTAAGGATTCTATGCTTTACAAGGTTTGGCCACACCAGTGCATAGTAAATCTGTACACAGTGCTTTATTGCAACAAACACCTTCCCCAACAATAGACTATTGTTCTCCACCCTTCTAGGATTGGCAAAGTGATGTTAATATGTCTTCAATACTCATTCCTTTAACACTTAGTCCAAGCAAAAGCCTATTAGACTCTAAGGTGGCATACAACTTTTGCTTCCTTCCAAAAGATCTTACGCAAGTTGGGATGAGGTGTGGTTTCAGTGTGGCTTGCTCCTCTTCTAGTTGCTATTGAGCTCCTGGAAAACTCCAAGCAGGACTCCCACCAGGATATGCTGCTCACCATAACTTGTGGTCCTGGCAGTTGACTTGCCTGCTTGAAATAGCTGCCAGTCTCCAAAGGTCACCTCCCTTCCCCATCTGCATATGCTTTGCTGCCTCCTTTCCTCTGATACCCCTCTCTTCTCTGCCTTAGGTTTGATTTTGTTAGCTAAGGTAGTGGGTAGTGTGAAATTGCCTGTGGATTTCAGCACAGTGCTTGAAAACATTACAGGCAGTTAGAACACTGGCTTGCATGTTTGTGAATAAAGAAATGTGAGTGAGTGAGTGAGTGATCGAATGAATGAATGAATGAATGAATGAATGTAGGAAACGTTTCTACCTGGTTGCAGCTACCCTTTCCAAGCACAGGCAGCAACCCCAACTTCATTTCCCAAGAGTTATGAAAAAATCTACTTGAATATGTGGATTCAGAGTACCGTTAGTGACCTAGAATGTTATCGCCAGTTGGTCTTGTTTTCATTAACCCCCCCCTTTTTCCTAGGGGTGACCTTGATTCATCAGATGAAAAGCGTATGTTTACTATAACAAAAGCACCCTTCTTCAGTGGTGTCCCATTCAACTCCCAGGAAAGACAGCTCAGCCTCCAGCCTTTTCATTTTCATTGGTTATTGACATCCTTAACTCCTCAACCAATAACCAATGAAATTGAAAGGGCTGGAGGCTGAGCTGTCCCTCCTGGGAGTTGAATGGGACACAACTGAAGCTAGATGAAAAGAGGCAGGCAAAGGTTCCCTTCCATTCCTCAAACAAGACATCATCTGAAGAGTAGATAGTTTCTCAATAGCTTGTCTTAATTCTCAAGCACTAATTAAAAATGTACTGAAGCACTGAACAGCAAAGCTGTTTTACTGACATGCTTTTATCAAAATAAAATGCACTGGGAAAAAAACATCCAGCAATGTAAAATCTATGGTGTGCTGCCAGGCAATATTGCATTTCACTAATAGAAGACCTTGACCAGAATTGCTGAGTCAAAGGATGCATATGACTGAGCAGAAGTTGAGATATATAGAGTTCTTTAGTTTTCAGAAAGAAGTTGTTGATGAACTATAATTCTGCAAAGGTGATACACTGAACAAGGTCATAGTCTATTGTATACAGTCTTTTTTTTGTTAAACTTCAGGGATGGAGTAAAGATTGTACATTATAGGAAGACAGATCAATCACATTTGATTGATTGATTGAGAAACAAATTGTAAACACACTAGGTTTGGCAATTGAGTCAATCCCATTTTGCTGCATGTTACCAAAAACAAGCTAGGCAGAGACAGAATAAATTTGTATTAAGTGTTCTGTGCCACCCAATTCTTTGCTTTTGCCCATTTTGGGGCACCATTCTGAATGTGGTCCTTGGTAAGCCACACATCACGGAATGTGGCCCTCAGTCCCAAAAAGGCACCCATTCTTTCAACTGTTAAGGACCTTAAAGCTTGTACTGTTTGAAGTGTTGAAGAAAAGTCAGTAATCTCTCTAGTCTGATATTTAGGACACAAAAGGACCCCCCCCCCGGTATATTTGTGCTGATATCCATAAGACTATAGTAATAGTCAGTTTTGCAATTTGGGAGTTTGAAGACCTCTTGCTGCCTCCAGCTGGTCAATAGTTGAACATCTTTTGTATCAACTCTCCATGCATTTGAACATTCTCATTAACAAATATTTCTACAATCCCCCTCCCATGAAAATAGGAGAAAATAACTTACAAATGTCAGTCAGCCCCACTCTCCATGGCCTTGTTTATCTGGCCATTTTCAAGAAAAAAACCCATAACTTTTATGAAGGGGATTTCATGAGCAAAATAAAAATGTAAATGAAATTGGGGAATTCAATAAGAACTTGGAGAATCGGTAGGGACGTTTCCTCCCATTTCCACTCAGGAAATTGCCTACAAAACAAGATATTTTTGGCAAGTGACTCAAGGAAAGAGATGTGTTACACATATTTTTGTCATATATGCTTAATCATTATTAATCAGATTTGAACACTGGGTCCTAGCCAACAAAGTGCAATTCAATGGGGAGAAAAATAAGGTTTTACACTTAACAAGAAAACAAAATGCACAGGTATAGAACAGGTGATAACGTGTTCAATAGCGGTAAGTGTGAGAGGGATCTAGGAGTCCTAATGGCCAACCACCTAAATATGAACCAGCACTGTGCTGCAGCTACC